TTTAAGGGGGCAGATATGTCTAAGTTAGTAGTTAAAACGTTGATCCAGTGTAGGCTGGGGTTCTCAGTTTTCCACAGCCTCCAGACCATGGGTGAGCTGCTTCCCCATTCCAATTACTACATCAGTGAGCAGCATAAACCATCAAAAACTAATAAGAAAATGTAACACTTTTAGCTAGAACCCATGGGAGCAAAGTGTAATGATTTGCTGTGCTTTTCACACAGCTGCTGCCAGGGAGAAATGTACAGATCCTTAAATAAAAGTAAATAATAGATAATGTCTCAGATGACAGCCCTATAAATAGATGTCTGTCCTGGTTTATGACTTGAAATTTAATTTCTTGCACTTTACTCACTGCACCTAATTGCTGTGTAGCAAGCCTTATGCTCCACATCCAGCTAGTCTCAAAGTCACTTATTTCCATGGTTAACTTTTGAATAATTATCTATTCCTGTAATGCAATCTGCAGTGGAATTTTTGACATTTTTCAGTGCTGTTCAGTGCAAATCTCATTTTTGTTCCTATATATTCATGAAATATTGGGGGAGAAAATTACATTTCTCACTGTGATTGACTCCTGTGCAGTTATTTGTCTAGGTACCAGCTTGAGGCTCTAAATATTTGTTGGAAGCAAATTCCATTTAGATTTGCAATTTGTGAACCTAATTTTGTTGCAGTTCTAGAAAAAATTACTCATTTGAAATTATTATACAGAGTCTACACATTCATAAACGTTACTACTTAATAAGAATGAAACGTTGGCACAAAGAATTATAATTATTTCCTTCTTTTTATAGCTTACATTAATTTTTTTTAAATTTGTTTTTTGGTTATTAAGGCCATGGAGATTGTGCTCAAGTCTTTTCTTCAGAGACAATCCTAAAGTATTTAATTGCTTTTTGTTTTTAAGCTGTGATTCTCACTAGTTCCTCTGACTGCAACAGATAGTGCGTGAAATAGAATACCAGAAAGCTGCAGGATTTCTAACAAAGGTCACAACAGTTAAATGCACCTGGCATTAAGAGAACTCTGTATGCAAAGCTAGAAGGCAGAATGAAAACTGGGAGGCTTTATTCTACTTTAGCCAAAACAGATTACAAGAAGGGCAGGAGGAAGGGCTGAGGAAACTACAAGCCTGTTAGTCTAAAATCAGTACCTGGAAAAATTATGGGGAGGATTGCACTGGATGCTATAGAAAAGCATATAAAGAACAAGGCAATCATCAGTTTTTTGCTGGCAGCTCATTCACTGCAAGCTGACAGGTTATGTACTCCTGATCCTCTTATTTTATTTCCAGCCAGTGTCAAATTAAGTACCGAACACAAAACCTGGTTTTGCCTCTTTTATGAAATGATGTTGTTTCAGTCCAGCAAATTAGTAGATATTATAACGGATGAAAGGATAGTGGTAGGATAAATTTCTAGGATTTAGTTATTGAACTAATGCAAGTGTGAGAATAAAAAAAAATCTGTTTAGTTGGGTTTTTTTTGTAATGAAAAAGCTGAGGATATTCTTATCAATCAGGGATCTTGGAGCTTCTCTGCCCCAACATTGCAACAAAGTTACTCTTGATGTAGTTTGGTTTTGACCAGTCTTGACTTCTGTGTTAAGGTGAAAAGCCCTCCACCAGCAAGGCTGGATGGAGCTGCAGTGTTGGGGCACTTCTTGTGACTTTTTGTATGCTGTCCAATGTCACACAAAGTAGACTGAGAGAGGGTTGCAGTGGCCTCTGTTGTTTCTTTCTCACCTGGGTAATAAGTGTTTTAATTATGCTCAGCCAATTCAACCAAATTAATCTCATTGTTGGAAAAAGCTACTTGTTAAATTTTTATTTTGATTTTGGCTTTGGATTTATATTTTTTGTCTTTCAAAGCACCAGTTCTGTTCTTTCAAAGTAATTTCATTTTTTCTGAAAAGTTAGCTGGGCTTACTAAGTTTGAACCACATAAAGAATGTTGAATTCCTTTATCTCTTATCTCTTATATCTCTTATTTATTTTTCTTTTATGTCTTTATCTCTTCAGTGTACTCCTCATTTTCCCATGTCTTGAAAGTATTAGAAGTCAATGCATAGTGGTATTAATTTTAGTGCTATTAAAAAGTTCAAACCTTGAAGTCTTATTGTGCCAAACCCAAAGATAATGGCATTTTTTCCCTGAACTTCTGTGGTCTGGGATTCCATAAATTGCAATTCTTGTCCTCCCTAGAAAAGTGTAGTTTGTGTCATGTCAGTGGAACTCAATAATAAGGCGAGAGAAGATGAATTGGCTCCTGCCAAGATGTACAGTTAAGGGTTGTGAATTTTCTTCTGTATTGAGAAGAAAATTATTTTCTATAATTTAAAGGCAACTTTTGTGCTTCTGTCTGATTGCTGATATTTGATTTATTCTTGGCTAACATCACTATGATCGTAATTTAATATCTGAACATTAATCCTATGCTGGTGCAAGACAGAGATTTTCTGTGTCTGAAAACAAGTAACCCTGCATTCATGGTCAGTTGTCTTCAGAGCCATGCCATAAAGCCATCCATCATAAATACCAGTGTGAGAAAAGCTAAGCATCTTCCTTGGGCAGTAGGTGAAGACAAGAGGAAGAGTAAATGTTTGCCATAAATCATGACAATACACAGCAGGAGGAGCTGCTGGGCAGTAGCACAGCCACAGGGATGAGCAGGTAGAGCTGGCAGCCAGTCTGGAGCTGAGAGCCCAGCGGTGAAAGCAGCAATCCAGGAAGAAGAGCCCTGAGCTAGGGAAACCTGAATATCCTATCTGGGTATTCTAGGCATCCCCACACATGTAGGAATGTAGGATATCCTCAACAAAAGTACAGCTCACTTGCCATCTCGTGACAGCAGGGAAAATGCGGTCTCAATTGCCATCAGAGGTACAGCAAGAACAATAGATCTTTGCTGGAGAGCTGGGATAAGGGAGAGATTTCTTGTCCCTCAGACAGTTTTCTGTTAGTCCATGATTATCTAATCTGAAGTACAGAAATAGATCTGTAACACCTGACAGAGGCCCAAGTTTCAAATATAAAATCTGGATTTTTGCCTTAGGTACCTACATGAGCTCAATGTTTTTGATAGAGAGGAGCTCTTTAGTCAGGCAGATATAAACCTGGAAAGTGGCAATGCTAAGAAAGTGAAGATAATTGTGTGGGCTGGGAGCATGAAGAGAGCAGTAGATTCTTCACTCCTGAGTCCAAGGGCATTCAAGAGTGGTGTTATGTAGGAAATCAGATTAGGTGAGGGATGATAAGAAAGTCTCCCCTGTCTCTAAAAAAGCCTAGCCTTAAAGCAAGTTTATAAGTCAGCTGAATTTAGTGGAGCTATTACAGCTGTAAATGTATCTACTTTTTAGGACTGACTTCCCAGTAATGTACGGAAAATAATTTAGTAGACTCTTGTAACAAGAAAGGCATTTTCTTCTTCAGAAGTTGCCTCTTCTCACACCCTTTTGCTTTATTTTCCCCTGAGAAATAAGGCATCCTATTGTAGGAAGAACTGCTTGGATTTCCCACGGGTCCTTTCCCATACCCAGCTCTGCACAAAGTAATTGCAAATTGTTGTCAGGATGACAGAAATAGCTGTGCCTGCATCCTGTTAACTCAGAAATGAGTCACTGAATCGTAAGGAAAAGTGGAACAAAATGCTGTGCCTGGGGAGAATATCCCACTGTGCCCTGTGTGGGTCTGTGTGTGGGGTTTTTTGCCCAGGTAAAGGATGGAGTAGTGCTATTCCCAAGGGAAGCCTCTGACTCTCCTCTGTTCCATGCCTGGGAAGGAGCTATAGGAGAAGCTGACAGTTAAATGGGGGAAATGGATTACAGCTATGGATTCCCCTGAAGAACACTTTTTCTTTTAACCCATTTGCTGGGAATAGGTACCACTCAAAATTAGAGAATTTTGGCAGGCTATATATTTCAGTGCTACTGTATAGTTGGCTATTGCTAATAGCAAAGATCAAGAAAAAACTCGTGGAAAGAACTGGACTGACATTGATTTATTCAGGTTTTTCATCTTACAGGAGCAAAAGAAGGGGACTAGAAAACATTGGAAAATATGGTTTTAAAGCTCTTCAAACAAGTTCCTTCTGTCATAAATCTTGGAAGTATCCAGTATTGTGTCACCAAGAATTGCAAGGAAGCTGCAAGGAGAACAAAACAATAGGAAATAACAAAACCTACTCCATTGAGTAGTGACTAAGAACCAGACATGGAAAACCATAAAGTTTTGTAGAAAGGGGTTGGGTCCCAAACCTTGAAAAAGAGAATGGAAATATCCTACAACCTGAATTTTAAAGCTTTCCTCTGCAAGATACAATGGGTTTATGACACCTACGATTTAATACTAACCCAAACCACTTTTAAGCCTGGTTATGTAATATATATATATATATATAAGGAAAGATGCAACTTGCCATATCCCAGTCATGATTTTTTTTCATGTCTGTTTCATGTCTGTTTTTTCCATATGAGTGGTCAGAACTGAAGGTTCCTGTAGCTGATGGGGAGAGCAAAAGAAGCAAAAGTAAAGTTTTTTTCACTTTGGAGCTCCCAGTCATGAATATATGGCTTTTTTATTTTTTTTTTTTTCCTCTGCCTGTAAAAGTCAATGCACTATTTGAAAATGCTCATGGACTTTAAAAATTGAATAGTTCTTATCAAGGGAATCTTTCGCCGTTTTATTAGCTCAGATAGAAAATTGATTTCCCCTGAGTAATGCTAAAACAGATAAAGCTGAAAACCTGACTAGAAGATGAATATCTGTATAAAAGTATAAAAATCTTCCAATGTAAGATAAATATGAGTTAAACAAAATTCGACATGATGGACAGAGCAACCATGACGAGTGAGGATTAACGCATAGAGAATAATGGAAATAGTTTTCACTGTTGGCTTTAAATACATAACCAAAAAAATCATTTCTGGTTTCTTGGGATTTGGAATGGATACATGCAAAATAATGGAAGTAAGCATTTATATTGCTTGGTTCATTGCAGGTGTCGTGTCCCTGGTCTCCCTGGCTGTGCTGTCCTATGAGCGCTACAGCACTCTCACCCTGTGCCACAAGCGCAGCCATGATTTCCGCAAGGCTCTGCTGGCAGTCGGTGGCTCCTGGATTTATTCCCTGGTCTGGACCCTGCCACCTCTGCTTGGCTGGAGCAGTTATGGGGTAGAAGGTGCAGGCACAAGCTGTTCTGTACGCTGGTCCTCGGAGTCGGCCGAGTCCACATCCTACATCGTCTGTCTCTTCATCTTCTGCTTGGCTGTCCCCGTGATGGTCATGGTGTACAGCTACGGGCGCCTCCTGTACGCGGTTAAACAGGTAAGCAGCTGCCTGCTCTCGTCCTGCAGACTGCCCTGAGGCATGTTCTGCGCTTCTCTTTCATCCAGTTTGGAAGTACTGATGGTAGAGAGCAAATCAGCAGGCCAAAATGAAATTGAAAAGACCGCAGAAATCCTCAAGGAAGGAGCATGAGGTCTTCACCAGTCTTTTTAATTCTCCTGAAGCTCCAGTCAAAATAAAGTGATAACATCTTACAGATACTGATTTTGTGGTTGGTAACACTGTGGAAAACAGTATATGGGAAAACGAGTATATCAGAGTGAAGTTTGCATTTGTAATGAAGTAAAAATACATTTTCACCTGTTTATGAAAATACTTCCTCCTGGTTTTGGAGAAATTTAGTAATTTCTGCTTCTTAATCTCTGGAATCTTAACTCTACAGTAATGTAATTCTACTGTGATTTATTGAGTTATCCCAAGGATCAGCTTCTCCTTGTTAATTCTAGCCCACATTTAAATTTTCCTTCTAACTACAACCACCATGTTCCACTACTACTACTAGTACTTCTCCTCATACTGCTACAATGATACTTCTCTCAGTGGTTTAAGGTGCACTGTAGATATTCCAGAATGAAACAAAAGACCCTGAAAAGTGTGTGGTATTGTGAAGTTTGAATACTCTTGGGACAGTAATGAAGTGGTTTAATGATGAATAATGAGAGAAGAATTAATGTATAGGTGCTCTCTAAAAAGCAATTCTCTAAAATGTTCAGATGAATTAATTAAGGGTGTTAAAAGGGGAAAAAAACCCAGTAAATCCCTGAATTGAGACTCTCCTACAGAATTAAAGTGAATTTGTACTAGTTTGCTTTGATTAGTCATAAGGAATTAAGTTTGATTGTTTTACACAATTTGTCAAAACTTTGAGAACACTTAAAACCCAAATGGGAAATCTCTTTGAGTACTGAGTGGGCCACTAAAATCCCTTTGATGAATCACACGTTATCACTCTTCTTAAAAGTTGTGCAATATTAATATGGAAAAAAATTCCTGTGATTGTAAACCATTCAAAGGAAGTATCAGTCCATATCTGATCTCTGGACAGCAGTTTCTTTTGCCATCACCTCATACTAAGAAGCAAGATCTTGGAATATGTGGTACTAAAAACATGCAGAAGATACATGTTTCTTAAAATTTTGGCTTATCTTTCCTTCAGCCCTCATTTCCCTTGCTGGCAACAGTCATCATCCACAATATACAGATTCATGTATGGATGAAGCTTCTGTAGCACACACTTTAGCCTCTAGTGCTAAATGTGGACTTGTGTTATTCTATTCACTTTTTTTTTTTAATTCAGCTATATCAAAGGCATTCATAATCTCACTGATCTGCCTGATGGGTCTCAAAAAGTTGTGGCAAACATACTGAGGGAACAAAGTATTACAGAAATTATTTGCAGTTTATAGACATTTTGTATTTGGTCATGAAGCCTGGGTGGAAGATTAGGTTGATTGATTAATCAACTGTCCAGAAGGAAAAAAAAAAGAGGGAAGAAAGTCCTCTCTCCTCCATTTTCTTCACGCCTTCCAGAGTAATCCACAAGCCAGTGGGGTGCTGAGGGTAGAGAAATTTTGTAAATGATGGAAGTGAAAGAAAATTGAACCCAGTCATGCATAACCTGTTGGAGGGACAGGCCTTAGGGAACAAATACTTGTTGAATGCAAAGGAACTGCAGTGAGGATTAGATCACATCTTTAAAGTCATTGTGACTAGGGGTCCTAAGAGCTGCCTGAGTATTTGTGAAGTCTTAAATAGCTTGTTGTGGTTTTTACACAAAATATCTAGTGCTTTCCTGGTGTTTGTAAAAGATTTTCTTGATAAGTTATATTCACCAAAGAGAATCTTAATCAGAAAACTCACCAATCCTCAGCTTTCTGTGGTGTACCAGGAACTATTTTCACCAGCATAATCTAAAACCTTGCATTTCATAAACTTTCTGTGGCATATATATAAATTTCTAATGAACATATCATGACACAGTCACTGAACTATAGGCTTCTTTCCCTTTGGTCCCAGTTAATTGTTCTGCAGTAAATGGGATAATTCATGAAATGCTGAAGTATGTCATGTTTCAAACCAGAGGAATAGATGAGCAATATGCAAATGAACTTATAGTAGTTCTTTATAAAAGTACAAAAAAAAAGGTTAAGAGTGTTATATTCATTATAATGCTGTAACTTTCTGGTGTGGGCAAAAAAAAAATAGTTATCTTGCCATTTTCTGGCCTTGTAGATTAAAGTCCTTCTGTGATCTTCTGTTAGATATTTGAAGTAATATGGGAGCATGGCAAACATTGTAAGTGCATTATCCCAAATTCAGCTCCTTGCTACATCTTCTGATGGCATCTCATGATGGCCAGATCTATAGAAGCTTTTTATGTTAGAGCATTGTAGCAATAACAGTATTGTACCCTGAAATCGAGAGTGCAGGAGTTATGCTGTTATTAATAGTGCAGTGTAAATTTATTGAGGTGGAAGAAATATCTTAAGGTATTTGGGATAGCTAATGCATGAATTGGCATGGTGCCTTCATTTTTCCTTTGTGTGGACAGTGATTATAGGTCTGCCTTTCTCTTCTTCTTCTCTAAATTTAGTCATGTGCTGTAGCATTCTGTCACTTGAAGCATTAATAGATCCCATGAAGTCATCTGCAATCTGTGTAATGATAAAAAGGATTTCAGTAATACAGATTTTATGAAAGATCATCTTTTAAAGGAATTAGAAGTCAATATCATCCTTGTATAAGTGATGTTAATAGCAAATGCCATTAAACAGCATTAAAACACAACTCTACCAGTATCTCAGAGCTCTTGTCATTTATCATGCTTGAAGCCCTGTAGGAATTACATTTTTTTTTAAAGTTATGGGTTTTTTTCCCAGGCTGGCTTTATCTGGATGGTTGAGTCTGATCAAACGGGCAAAGTCTTCTCCCTCACAAAATTTATTCAAATATAATTTATTCATGCACATTCTAGAGCACAAGGGAAGGAAATTGAGGATGGTTTATTTTTCCTTGTACAGTCACATTATTTTATTTTCAGTTTTTGGCTTACGATCCTTCTCTGTGACTCTACTCTTTCATTCCCTCTGGAAAAATGTTCTTTATGAAGACAGTGTCAGTTGTTTACACTTTGAAAAGTGGGCTCCCAAATGTGGAATTACAGAGATTAGCATTGTGATCACTGTAGCACAAAAGACACAATGTGATTAAAATCCTCCACTGAGGGGCCCAGAGAACTCATGTGAACCAGCCTAATGAAAATTAGCAAAACTTTTAAAAAGAGATCTCTTCAGCCTGCATTATCTCCTACTTACATGCAAAAATCCTGCCCAAGGACAAGAAGAATCCCAGAAGGATGTCTCAAGAAAAGTTTTCAGTTTGGTTTTATAAAAGACTCTCATCTCATTGTCAGTCTTCTTTCATTGAAAGCCGTGCCTGAACAAAGCTTAACAACTTTTCATGAAATGTAGCTAGGACATGGAAAACAATAAAAAGGACTGTAAGCAGAGCACAAAGACTTAAATATGCAATTTTTACTCTGCAAAAGACTGTATGTTGAAGTAGGCAATGGGCCAGTGTTTTATGGGATTCTGGAGTACTTGGACTTACAACGTGACCTGATAGTCCTATAGTGTGGTGGCTTTTGCTTTTGGGTTTTCTTTTTCCCTGTTGTTGTTCCTGTTCTACTTTGTCTCTGAAAAACAAAAAAGAAAGAAAACAGAAAAAAATATTTAGGGGAAAATTTAAAGACCACATGAGGAAGAAGTTGCCTTTACCAGTATCTCTCATCCAACATCCTGTGATGCACCTGTTATTGCTTAATTTCTCAAAAACTTCTAGCTTTAACTAATGACCAAAATGTGAGTCCAGGTAGTGGAATTACCCAACTATTTCCCTTTATAGCAATTATTTTATTTATTTTGAAAATTGCTACATGTTTTCTGACTTCCAGATATCATAGGAGAACCAGATAACCTTTTTTTTCATCCTATCTCCTGACTTTTATGAGTCTTGTCATCTTATAGGGGTACTGGGAAAGTCAAAGTTACACAGTAGAGAGCTGTCTATTCCTCTTTCTTACCACTCTTCCAGATTTCAAAGTACTAAATTTAGTGGAGGAAAAGTGCTTCCATCTCTTATGTAAGAAGTAATGTCACAGAGTGAAATTATCACTTGATTATAAACCCAAGAAAACTAATTTTTAAATCTGTATGGTGATATTTTGACTCTGTGTTGTTTTTTAAAAATTTGGGTATAAACAACAGTGATGGTTTTGATATCTTCTGTGCCCACACAGGAAGTAGGGGAGAAGAAGGAAAGAAAGGAGGTAAATTTTTTATAATTTCTGATTCCTTAATATCTGCACTATTTGGAACACGTAAACAATATCTTAAAAGCATTTATTGTATTGTTATTCATTAGTCAGGAAAGGACAACAAGGTAGAAGGACCATGCCTGTGAACATTTCCAGTTTTCCATCTCTTTTGGAAATGATCATTTGGAGGAAGAGAGCACATTAGGGTAGAATGTTTAGTGATTTAAACTGAAAAAAATCTTCACATAATGCAGAGAGTAGGATGGGAATGTAATTATTCTTCCATCATTCCTTCATGTGCTTCATATGCCTATTTATAGAGAAACTTGATTTTCTGAAACTTCATCTTTGATGGCACTGAAATTATGATTTATGTTGAGAAAACTGATAAAGCAATTATGCACCATTAAATCTTCTTAGAACCCTAAATAAAACCAGGTTTGTACTCATAGGAGCAAAGTTCAAAGTTTTTTTAGTTTTTTTAATTAAAAAAATAAGTCCTAAGAAAAGTAATCCAGGTGAATATGATGTAGACCTGGTTGTATGGTTCTTGTAGATCATCCCTTTCAAATGTCATTAAGTACATTCAGGGTCTGACTTAATTTCAAGTATGTTTGACCTCTGCTGTATCCAATCCTAAACACTCATTAGACAGCCATATCTT